AATGGAACCTGCACGTTTTCTTGTATTTTTTATGATGCTGAATCATTTTAAACTGATGGGAATATATTGGAAATCGCATTAAAAGTAGCATAATTTTGTTAAAATTGGAATTTCGATTGCAATTTTCATTACTTCCATCAGTTTAGTTGAAATTAACGTTTGCAAATGATTTAGCACATCAAATAATGCAAGAAAACTTGCATAAGAAAGGTTCTATTGTTTAGACTTTGGACCGAAATTCAATAATTTTACCTATCCTCTTTTGTAATATTAATTTTAATATGTAATTTTGGTGTATAACTGATTTTAGAGAAATAAATTTTGTTTGTTTATAATATAATCTTTCCTTTTTTTCTTTATGTTCTCATTTTTTTCTGTTATACACATTCTACAATAAGCCATTAGTAATAAATCAGAAGTCAGAAGCTAAAAGTTGATCAATTAATTAACTGTAAGAAGAATAATTGACTATGATTAGTCAATTTCTAGCATCTAACTTTTAATTTATTACTAATGACTTATTATAGAATGTGCGTTACAATTACAATTTTTAGTTGTAGTTATGTCGTTACAATAAGTAAAAAATATGTATGGACTAATTGTAATTATAAAACTATATTATACTGTTATATTAGTATATTGATATTAAAATTTAGAAAAAAATATAACATATAACATCGATAATTTGATCAATTCTGAAACACACACACATTTACAACAATCTACTAAGTATTAGCTTTTATTTAATAACATATATAATATATTTATTCATTACATTATCATTTTTATATTAATAGAAGAATGATCGATTTGTCAAAATTACTAGCAATATTAATAGAACGTTTATAAAAACCTACTATTAAAACTACTATTAAACATTTATGTAATAAAATTGAGAGATTTTGTAGAAGAAATAATTTATGTTCATGAATTCATCGTGCTTCCGGTTCATAAATCTTATAGATGTCTCCTGAGTTTATTGACTAATCCCATAGATCTTTAGCAAATGCTAGCTCTGTAAATCAAATATGTCTATAGAGTCAACGACTTTGAATAAAACCATATCCTTAAAAACCAACAAAATTGTTCGATGACGTTTATCAGTTTCTAAACGAGAAATTATCTTTGAGTTAAATATTCGAAATTACAATTAAAACTAAAAAATATAGCGATGATATATTTATAGTTGAAAAATGCTGACTATGATAATAAATAATAAAAATATATTATATATAAATAATAAAAATGAAAATTGAATGGCTTCAAAAATACTTTAGAACTATAATAAAAAAAAATTTATTATGAAAAAAATATTTTTTTATTATAGTTGTAAGTAGATACTTTTAAGGCCATTCAATTTTCATTCTGGAAAATTTTTCTATCTCTTATATAGTTTCGACGATATTCGCTTCAAAAAAAAAAATCAATTTTTTTCGAGGGGATATTTTACTCCCTAAATTTCGAGATAAGCACAAGAAAATATGGATCTAATATTTTTTCATGTTCCATAATATATCCAAAGTTCATTAAAATCGATGAGGGTCAGTTCCGACAGTGGCTCCCTTGTCAAATACTCATATATATAGAGTTTAATTGTATCGAGAAGCAGTCGAAATTTGGTGTCCGAAGAGTAGATTGACATACATCTAGTTATACACTATTAAATAGCTTTGCTGATCCGCAAAACCAATCACAAACGAAGACGCTTTATATAGCATTACTGAATAGACTTTTAGGTCAGTTAATTATTAATTGTATTAATTATGTTACTGTATAAATATATAACTATAATGTTTCGTAACTATCGATGTAACTAAATAATTATATATTATTATCAATTGGCATGACTTTAGAATTTATTCGAGTAGAATAGCTTAAAATTAAATTGCTGTCGACTAATTTCCTCACTATGTACATAAAGTGTCCCCATCATCAAAAGCATTCTTGCAACCACAGGCATGTATTATAACATAAATATATTATATGATGGTATATATTATTACGAAAATCGGATACTTTGGTATTTGTTTAATTTGTATTAATTATACCTAATTTGCATTAACTGTATATGCGAAATCAATAGTCAAGTATCACACTCGACGAATGTGTAGATACCTCTTATGGCTCAGATATGGAACATGAATAAACATTGCGTACATGTAGACAAACACGCGTGTATAAGTAAGACTTTTTTTCTTTCGAAAATATTTTCAAAATGAAGGCAGCTGCAAATACAATTATTCTCATTATACTATGATTTTAAAAATGCAGATGACAAGCAAGATACTTGCTCAAGGATTAAAACAATTACTTGACGAATCGGTCAAACAATAAATTAATAATTAATTCAAATCATTATTAGAGTATACCATTTTTCGATTTAATGTAGTATTTATACTTGAAATTTTTATTAAAGATACTAATTAAATTAAATTAGTATTTAATTTTTGTCTTTATATTTCTTGTTTAAAATAACGTTTTATACTATTGTTGAAAATGAAATAAAATAATGTTATCGATAAATACAACTAATAATAACTGTTACTGATGATGAAGCGATAATAGTGTTATTTCGATACATCTGTTTCCAGTATTTATAATATTAGTATTTATAATAGCAATCGAGTTCTTTACCCAAATAACCGTTTTGATATCTTTACTAAAAATAATTGTTGCTAATTTTATAAATTCGTTGCTTATCGGAAAATCTTTTATATTTTATTATCTCTATGTCACTTTATTTTGTTACGAATTATTTTAATGAAGCAATAATAGTTCCGATCTATTAAATTATATTTTTAATTAGACGCATATATAATTTGCGCGATCGCGAAATAAAATGCCAAACGAAGTAACTAAATCAAGATTATTCTTCTTTCTTCCATAATTTAATTATTATAGAATAATGAGATATTGAAAATAATACTTCCATTATTATTTGCAGTTGAAGCATAGAATGTATACTTGTGGACTAATTCAAGTGCTATATTCAAATAAAATTGCGATAAAAAATAAAGAAAGAGAATACAAAAACAAAAACTTCCAATTATTTAATTAAGAAAAATAGATATGCTCGTAATTCAATTCTTTCTATTAAATAAGCAAATGTAAGATTACCTTCGTGATAGAAATAATCGAATATTTAATATATTGGATATATCAATTCACAATTAAATATTTGATATATTCACAGATTAACTATAAAAAATATCTTTTATACATTACAAAAAATATATACATTTTTTCTATAATTATATTATAAAATATCCAACATTCTAAGAAAGAAATCCAGCAGACATATAGATTAGAATATTAAAAATATTCACTTAATGATCACAAGTTATCAATATTGACGTTATTATTTTTGTATAATAATGAATGTAGACATTATTGTGTCTACTAACTATTAAATATTAATATAGTTTTATATAAACTATTTTTTACCGCAATTAACGATGATAATTATAGATAATAAAAATATTGTAAATCACACTTCTTAATCTGATTCTTAATCTGAGACTAATTAAAATGTAATAAATTTTTATATCAAGTTTTGTTTTGTTTAATTTGTTAAATAAAAGTTTATTGTAACAAACTAATTTATATTTTTAAATATATATAAGAATATTATTATTAAAAATTCTGACTTGATTAAAAAATGAGAAAATTTAGTTCTTACAATGTCAATTTCTTTAAATAAGATTGATTTTTAATTGCATATATAGCATAGCACGAAATTGCTCGATTTATCTTCCTGTAAATGCTTTCTATGTTTCAACTGCAAATAATAATGGCTGAATTATTTTCAAGTTTCAATGCGTTGCTTGTTTGCTCAGAAACAATGGATTGTTATAACGACTATTATATGTGAGTGTCGTATCGACGAGTCCCTTACGAAAAGTACGCACAAAAGAGCAAAGCGGCTGATTAATTTGTGCTCTGGCTTCACTCCAAAATAAAATCATTAAATAATTAATAGTTTATTAAAATAAAACGACTGCGCATCGCTCGGCTTCTATTCCGCGCGAAACAAAAGGGCTCTCTGCCACCAACATCATGTCAGCCCTTTTCGGGGAACTCGCGAGGTCGTTAGCGGTGCGAACTTGTTATTGCATATTGTCGAACGTCACATTGTCTGTTTAGCGATATTGCAGTTTGCATTAGCTCACGAAATCGCGAGCAAGTCGTTCGCGCGGAATCGCCTACGATTTCCATAATTCCAGCGGTCGCTTTGTCGCAACTTCATCGCAATGTTGTCGCAACGGGACTTTGTTACAGCCGTTAATTAGCAACTCCAAAATAGACATCAAAAAGTCGTGTACGTGGTTTCCGGTGGAAATACAGATGCGCGACTCTATTGAATCCCAATTATTTCAACCAAGTTACGTGCATTTTATCTGCAATTATTGAACGAATAAACATGTAGTTCTCATTTGCCATTCTCCGTCTATCACACATAAATAGATATGAGATAAAGTCAATATGCAAAATATTTACCAACTCACGACCTTAATTTCGATGGCAGGTGATAAATTTAGTACGGATTCCCTTTAGCAAAATGTCAAAGGATATAATATTTAAAATTTATCGATTTTTTATGTATTACGACTTAATGATTTAATTCCATTTGGATATATTATACAAGTTATTTTTTTAGTTTCATGTGCCTGCTATATTTATTATAGGTACATATATTAGACAGCGACAATAAAAGATTATTAAAATTAAATTTGAAAACTGTTTTGATAAATTTTTATACGTAATGTAAAAAAAATGCAATAAATAAATTCAATAGTCTCTGTTACAGTCAGTGTGAAATGAATTATCTCGAAAATATATAAATGAATTTTATTGCACTTTTTTTTTAAACGATTAATAAGTGAATTTACGCGACTCGTGTTAATTTTTAAACACTAACTTTAAGATTTGCAGTTTACGCAAATTATTTATTTTACGTAAAGTTTTTATAACTCTCATTGCTGTAATTCTTACAGGTTTTAGTAATCTTTTATGTAATTATCTATTTGTGATATTTTGTGTAATTAATCTTTTTATAACTATTACAGATCATGAGATCACATGTCAAAAGTCGCGTGCTTAAAAGAAAAAGCGGAAGAAATAAGATCGCTAACGATAGATTAAGTCACATTAGGCAGTTCGCCAAGCAGTCTAATAGTGAAGCATTCTTATACTTCACCGGATGATAGATCGTGATTGAGGAATTAGGATTGCGCAAATTACTATGTGGTATTTCATTCAACTCAAAATTAATTGGCAATTTGATTTCATTCGATTTATTTCAAAAAGATGTACGAAAAGTAAAATTATATCTATTTTTAGAATAAATTACCAATACATTGTAATTATAAAACAAATTCTTTGAGAATTACGAATACGTAAAATATAATTTTTTATTACATTTAAAAAAATTTATTTTTTGTATATTTATATTTTTAAATAATGTTAAATTGAAATTTTTTTCTTTCATGTTGTTTGTGTTGAGATGAAATTAAGATAAAAGTCATGTGTTTGAAGTTCCGGCATTTCAGTTGTTTATAAGCCTGGAATATGTCTACCTTTTACTCATATTATATTTTAGTTTATATTTATTTTTTCGTTATTTATTTTTTACGATTTTCAATCCACAAAACATTATTTTATTTAATCTATTATTTGGGAAAACTCATTTCTCTGTTTAATTAAACAAATATATATAATAAATATATGTAATTTGTGAAAAACATTGCTGAAAATAATATATTTTAAGTTTTTTTTATTTAATTTAGTCTAATTTTTCATTTAGTTTAATTTATTTAAAGTTAATATTGTGCAATTTATTAGGATATCTTTTCTGTCGTATTAAATAGAATTATTAATAATCATAGTTAGCTTGAATAAATTCATATATATCATATACTCTACAAATTAGTTCGACTTTTCGTTGAATGCAATTTGTAACTAAGTGGTTGTTAATTAATTTCATTCATCTCTTCGCTACAATTAAAATGTAAAATTTTTATAAAAGGGTATTATTCAAATAACATTTTAATTAAATAAAAATCTATTCAACTTGGTTAACTATTTATTATCAAAATTATATAAAAACAAATTTTTTTTCTCTAATTGGAGAAGAATCAACCAATTAATTAATTAATTATAATTTTAATAAAAATATGAAAGTAATGCAAGATAATAAAGTAAATAAAGTGAATAATTAACTCATCGATTTCATTTTTATGCACGGAAAAAACAGTATGGTCTACACAGAAATTTGATGATATCAACCAGATTAAATAGTAAAATATGGAGCAATTATTTATATAATTGCTTGAACTATAGTACCATGGTTAGGTTAGGTTATGTTGCAGCAATACTTCAGCAGACTACTAGCAGACGATATTTCACATACACATATTTTTAATTGTAAACCTGGTGAGTCACTTTTGTTTTTTGAAATTGCAACTTAATTTATAATAATATTATAAATATACAACATAATATATAATAAGAAATTCTTATTAATAATTTAATTCTTATTATTATCATGCTTTATAATGTCACGATTGACGCATCTATATGGATATGTAACTTATCCATAGTAAATAATCCCCCAATCAAATTTTGGTTATCGATGTAGTTGACACATCAAAGTAAATAAATCAACCATACACACACACATTTCTATCACATAAAGATAACTAGGATGATATTTCTATATTGCTCACAATTAAATATTTTTAGTTATGTGAACTATGTCTTTTTTCCGTGTGGATAACTATTTATAATCACCGAGACATTTTATCCAGCCTTATTTCTTTCTTTTTCTAGAATGGCTGTCGGTAACATTCGACACTGTAAAGTCGAAAATCCGCGGCGGTGTCCAATAAAGACGAAATTGCACGATCCAAACACACGAAATATACGCATTGATGTTTAATGCAAAATTCAAATTGCCTTCCGACGTCCCTCTCCTGACGCGGAAACATATGACGCAATCTTGGCAGGTATTGTCAGGAAACCGGCGACATCTTTAATGTATGAGAGAGAAAACGGGTAGGGTACGTAGCTGCGACGTAATTGTCGGTACGAAAAAGGATGAAAGAGAAAGGAAGGGATAGAAAGATTGAGAAGGGGAAGAAGCGTCGACAGTTGACACGTAAATTTCTATCAAAGAAAATCGTGTAGATTTACATCAATTTTTTAGAAACACGCCGTCTGAGAAATTTTTAAATAGAAATATAAATATAATTCACTCCTTAACATGGGAAGTCACCTATATAGGATATTTTTATATATCCTCGCTTAACGACAAAAAAAATGTGAATTGATGTAAAATCGATATCGCTTTCTTTCTTTTTGGACATTTTTTCTTAATAACTATTCTTTACAAATCTTTAAATATGAAATTTCACTAAAAATCAACAATAAATAAAATTTATATTGATTAAAATCTTTATTTTTAGAAATATCTGATAATGTTTGTCTGATAATAAGCTACTTTATGTGTTTATTTTTGATATTTGTTTTGTTTTTACTTACTTATTTCAGAACATTTTGTTATTACATCCATATTCATAATATTCTCAAATGTCAATAAATCGGAATTTTATTAATATATAATATGTTGTTAATAACAGTGATTTTAATTATGGTATATAAAAATATCTCAAATAATTGTTTAAAAAAACTTTGTTGTGATTATTCTCAAAATAGTTAAACGCGTGGAAATTAAATAATAATTAAAGATTATAAAATATTGTACAAAATTATTACCAATATTTCCTGTGTCTGTATAATGAATATGTTTTATACATATATTGTGCTTATTTTGTGTATGTAAAATTTTATATTAATATATATTTAGATTAAACTTTATGGTAAATGAGACATTGCAATAATTTCAAGAGAACTATAACTCATAATTAATAATATTTGTTATTAATTATTATCGAACTTATTATTAATATAAACATACCATTAGTATCAGCTTAAATATTCTTCTTGCTATTATCAGCAATAGAGTTTTCCAATGGAAAATATTTCGTTGTCACATATCATAATTATTTCAAATAATATTTCCGATAACATTCGTTTTTCTCCGTTATTGTTTTTAGTTTTTAATATATTCATTATAAATCAGAGACCACGTATGTAGAATATATGCGGTTGTTTTTTTACAATAATGCAGATTGAAATCAAACCATAATATTTAACTCTCTCAGTAATGTTTACACACGTTAATAATATATATTACGAATATTTTATGTTAGTAATTTTCGTTGCAGAGTAAAAGCAAAAATATATTTCGAGATACAATATCTCTCCCATGTAAAGCGATGCACTTAACGGTTAAATGTATCTTATTCTGTTTATTTAACTCGCGGATAAGATCGGGATGGGCGGAATAACGAGGACCCGGAAGACGAGAAGACACTCGAAGTAATGCGAGTCGAGCCGGCCGGGTAACCGTTGGCGTTGATCCAAACCGTCTTACTCTGTTCGAGGTGCATTAAGATGCCTCGTTAGTCACGCATGGCTTATGCATAAATCAAAAAAATGTCCAGGCGCGATCCAATTAATTTCTTTTCGTCGCTATTATAACGATGGATCTGTACGCGCGATTTTGCAACGGTTATAGATGAAGAATACAAAATAATGTTGAAAACGGAGGAAGAGGATGCACTTTATCATAGTTGCATATTTTTCGCGATCTTCTTGCAACATGCAAATAAAATTTGTTATATTAGCTTCCGCTATATCTTTCTCATGTCTATGTTTATAATCATAATGTACTTCTTATCACATAACACTTTTCAATTTATTTATTAAAGTTATTCTTTTGTCATCTATATCAGTTTGTATAATATTATCAGTTTCTTATTAAAATTAAAAATTTGTTGAGTCAAAAATAATAAATTATGTTTAATGATACTGTCGAGCGCAATAAATTTATTATATATTTCTTACTTAAGAAGAAAGAATGATTGGTTAAATTATTATTTTAAGAATCTATCTAACTATCACGTAATAAGATTTATACTAATTTATACAATTTGATGGTTTAAGTAAAGTAATTTAGTTTAGAAACTAAAATAGCAATATATATATTATTAAATGAATTCATTGAACTAAGATCATTTAGATCAGTATTCATAGTTGATTCTTATATTTAAGATCGTCTTAAACACAGTCATAGAACCGTATTAGCATCTTCCTTAGGTCAATCTTAAAATAAGAACCAACAATGAATATTTGATCGTCTGACGATTTGTCATACATATTATTTACATTGCATATTTAAATATGTAAGAATTGATGACGACATAAAATGATTATTACTAATCGATTAAAATATTTAATAAACGTTATATCTTTATATCATATTAAATCATTATTAACGTGATGTGATCATCTAATGATTTATCTTAATCTACATTTCCTCGTTACATTACTAAAATATTTAAAACTATATCAACATGAAATTATAACTGCTGATCGATTAACAATAATGTAATTATTTTTTTATCTCAGTTTCTATAATGTAAATAACTGATATAATATCTAATAAATGTTATATGTTCACATTATATTATTAAATTAATATGATACAGTCATTTGACAATTTATGTTATTGTTTACATTTCTGTTTATATACATCACAGTGAAATTTTTTTCATGTACAAATACAATGTAAGTCACACAAGCTATTTATGATAGTACTTTCCCTTTTATTTTGTTAGTGTAAAAGATTCAAGTAATCATGGACTATATATGTGCGTATGCATGCTCGTGAATAAACGAATATCACACTGAATTCATAGTAACTGAATAGGATTAGAGAATGAATTGGATTTTAAATTAGAAATTCATTCGCTGACTCGTTTCATCTTACTTTACTAACTGTCGTGGTTGTTAGAAAGCAGTTATTCTTACATCCTATCGCTACGTTGTCTCTGTCTTTTACTTTTTACCTGCTTCACCTTCCAATCCTATTTTCCTCTCTCC